GAGGTGGGGGGCAAGATGAGTTCTGTTTTGTACACTTTGAGATAGAGATGCCTACAGGACATCTAATTGATGATGTCCAGGAAGTAATTGGTGACACAGGACGGAGCTCAGGTGAAAAGTTAGGGCTGAATGTATCTGGGAATTCTCTGCATAGAGATAATCATGGAACCCAGTGGAGCTGATGAGGTCACTAAGTGAGAGTACAGAGCAGAGGTTTTTAACCTGGAAAGATAGTGAACTTGGTTAGGAAAAAAATTCACATCTTTCAACATCATTGGTTTCTTTTGTAATTCTGTTTTTTATGAATTTAAAATACTAATTTAATGCTAAAAATACTAATTTAAAAATATTATTCTGAGAAGCTATCCATAGGCATCACCAGACTGTCCGTGACACAGAAAAGGTTAAAAGAACCCTCTGGTACAGAGAGAAAAGAGAAGAGGGCCCAGAATAGAACCTTAGGAGATGTTCTATTTTATTTACCCTATGTATTGTTTATATTTGTTTTCTCCTTAGTATATACATACACATAGATACATATATTCATACAAGTATATATTATATATATTATAATATGTTATATATCTTGCATATATGCATATTGTACATATTTTATTATGCATGTATTTTTTAAGTCCAGCGCTAGACAGTTTTTTTCTTCCTCCACAGCCCAAGTCAGTGAGGAGTATAGTTCAGAAAGAAGTAATACTGACAGTGAAGAGACTAAGACCGGCTTCCTCGGACTCCAGGGGTGGAAGGTCCTGGGCCTTTGGGTCTGATGGTTTAGCACCCCTTTCCAGGGGAACCTGTCCAGCTCCGGCTCACTCTGGACCCTGACATGGTGGTTGTTGTTAATGTTAGTTGTCCTTTGTTTTAAAGAGGACCAGGGATATCACGGGGCAGTGTCTTGACCTGTTCATGAATTGGAGGCAGAGTGCACAAAGTCATTAGCCCCACTCTCCCTTCCTGAGTCATGGAGTGGCAAGACAAAAGTCAGGATGACTGGCGATGCCCAGGATGTTGGGTACCCAGAGAAGGCTGACTACTTCACCCCTCAGGCATCCAGGGGTAACCCAGAGGGTCTGGGTTGGCAGGTTCACAAGTGCCCACCATTGTGCTCTCCATTGATTATTATTAGCTAGCATTCATATAATGTTTTAAAATTTGGAAAGCACCTTGCACACGCTATTTCATTTGAACTTCGCAACAACCCTGTGAAGTAGGTAGTATTATTCCCATTTTACAGATGAAACTGAGGCAGAGAGAGGTTAATTGACTTGCCCACACAAGTAAGTAAATATCTAAGGCAGATCTCCAATGCAAGTCTTCCTGACTCCAGGTTCAATACGTTATACACTTTATCATCTAGTTGCCTGATTATGTAGCTCTGAGGTATCAGATTCCCTGAGACCTACCACACTTAGGGCAGCAGAACCAGATTAAAATCTAATTGGAAAATATTGAACAAAATAAATAAAAATAAAATACAACATAAATAATGTTCATTTGTAGTTTTCTAAGTCAGTGTGCTACTCACAGGGATCAGTTTCTGTTTGAGCTTAACAACACTTGTCTAGCTGATTAGACAGCCAGGGTTGATCAACTTTTAGTTAAGGGTATTTATTAAGATGATATAATAAGAATAGTTGTTATGAAACCAATGCCTCCAGCATCTGGGACGCTCAGCCCCACAAATACATAGAGAGTCCAGGGGAAGGTGGGCTTGAGCTTAGGAAACACATATTGGATGGAAGTTTTCTCCTCTCCTGGTGTCTTCATGAAATTCCTAAAGTATGTAGGCTCTGCTGGGCTGAGGCTGGACCCTTATGGAGTCCTGAAGCTACACTTCTCTTCCCCAAAGAGGTCACGGCCCCTGCAACTGCCTTTCTTCAGTCTCTAGTTATTCTCATTCCGTTTTGCTGGATGTATTTTTGTTCCTGGTCCAAAGTGTGCAGTGATGTAGTCAGGGGAGGGATGAGGAGAAAGAGAGTAGGTCATTTTCCCCTCATCCCATCACAGTCCCTTATTCAGTCCACGTCACTCACAGCACTACTGAAGGCGCAAGTCCACCTTTGCCACATCATGGTTCTCTCTCTTGTTCTACTCAGTTCTGGTCAGTCAGTGATCACTTACGAAGTCCTGCTGTCTGCCAGGCACTGTGCTCCTTTCTGCTTCTTCCCAAAACTCCTCCTCATGGTTCAAGAGCTCAGGCGCTTGTGACCATCGCCGTCTCTGCGGCCACAGTGTTCCCTGGTGGAATCTCACAGATGTAGTCTGCTTCTTCTCCGGGGGAGCAAGAAGAAGCTTCTCTAAGCCCTCTTGTCTGCATCTCAAAGATGTGTCTCTCCCTCGCCCTTGGCCAGCTCGTAGGGTTTGGCTTTGGTGTAGGGCGAGGTCTAACAAATCTCCAGGGTTGTGTAATATAAATGAAAACAACACTGAACTCAGATTAATTGTAGTGTCTAGTCTTGGGCCTGAGGATCAGATTGAAAAACATTCTCTTCCTCTCAGCAGGTTACACCAGCAGAATTTCGAATATGCCATCAAGAGCAATTGCCTAGGTGGTTGATATGACTTAACAGTTTTTCCTTTGTTACAGAGGAGAGCTCAGTGTTGGGAGGGAAGGACATGGCAATGGCTCTTGAATGAAAGGCCTCTTAAAACTAAGTTTTAATTTTTCAAAATGCAGGGTCAAGAGGAGGGTTTATGCTTGGTAAAGAGAGGCATCTTCAATGCCAGAACAAAGGCCCATCCTCTCATCTTGTTAACTTTGGTGAGGTTGAAAGGTTTCGGAATCATTGCATTTATTCAGTTCTATAGCTATAAATCCCAAATGATATTGAGAATATTTTAAAAACTCAAATGGCTTATATTGCTTTGTTAAGTATCTGGCTCTTTCAGACTAGATTCTGGGGCTTATTTACTCATTTCTGTAGGTTTGTGTGTTTTTGATCCTCATCTGTAAAATGAAGGGTTGGACCAGATTACTCTCAAGAGCCCCTCCAGCTCTGAGGTCTATGAGCCTATCTTGTCCAGATTGGATGTTTTCCTATCTCCATCCTTGTTTTACAAAACATTAATAACTGGCTCAGATTCTTAAGATCCAGCCTGCTTGCATTGGCGATACAAATGCTTAGATTCCTGAGGAGTCTGTCCAGTGTGGCGGATGTTCTGATAAACCTTGTCTTTGGCTGAAAAAAAAGCATTAATAACTACAGAATCATTAGCATCTTTGGTGGAGTGGGAATCAGGTGAGAAAGAGTATGAAGAGAATTAGATTTTAAGCCAGCTGAGCAACTGAGGACTGTGGGAGGGATGAGAGTAGGGAGAGGTTGTTGTAGAGGCCGATGGGGTCTGAGTTATTACATTGCAGGTTGGATGAAACCCTCTGCTGTGTCCTTGAATTGCTTGCGCATCTGTAACTCTGGAAGGCTGAGAAGCTGGGGCTGTTAGTGTTAATTAATATTTCTATACTCATTAATGCCACCATTACTTTTCAAGTCATCACTCTTTATCATTTTAGTGAGGTTTCCATTCTGATGATGTAAGAGGCCGACCATAAATTGCAGAAGATTGTGAAATTTTACTAACTAGAATCTGCAAGGATGGTACTGTCTTACTGCTGGTGTCTTCTTCAGCTCTCTGTATTTAGTCATAAAACCAGTGACGGACTCGAGCCAGGCAGACAAAGCTAGGTTTTCCACTCTCGATGAATTACTTTTCCACATCTGAAGTTTAAAGTATATAAATCCTGGTACTTAATCTCACTTTTACCTCTTTACTCAAAAAGACCTTTCTCTTACCACATTATCATGGAATATTACCCTCTCCAAAGAATCAAAATTGTGGGTGATAGAAAAAAAAACAAGGTTAGTGTAAATAGACTGCAACACGTTGGTAATGCTGACTGGCACAGAAGACAGAGATAGGGACAGAACCTGGGGTTTCATTGGCATGGGGATCTCCCAAGTGAACAAACCTCTCCAAATGCAGTATGGCAGCATTACAACTTACAGTTTTAAGGTTGCCTATCAGACATATGAGCTAACTCCCGAGTGTAGCCAGAACCAGATTGAAATGTAATTGAGAGGGGCAGCTAGATGGTGCAGTGGATAGAGCACCGGCCCTGAAGTCAGGAGGACCTCAGTTCAAATGTGGCCTCAGACCAAACACTTGACACTTACTAGCTGTGTGACCCTGGGCAAGTCACTTAACCCCAATTGCCTAAAAAAAAAAATGTTTTGCCAGAAAAAAAAAAAAGATTATGTTAGTTGCCCAGGTCAGAGAGTCGGTATGTGTCTGTGTCAGAGACAGGACTTGAACCCAGGTCTTCCTGGCCTGCCGTCCATCCACTATACCATTCTGCCTCTGGGTAAACACGTTATGGCATAAAAAGATAATTGTAGGAGATATGTGATTGGAGAACAAAGCAGCTTGGTCATGCAGTGAGATGGGATAACAAGATAACAGAGATAACAGATGGGCAAGATGAATTGTTGCACTGGTATCCAGGAAATATGAGAAGTCAACTAGCATTTTTTAAGTACCTGCTGTGTGCCAGGCACTGTGCTAAGTGCTAGGGATGAGAAAGCCTTCCAGTTTGTGGAACATATTTGGGAGTACAGGGGTGAGAATTATACACAGTGAACAAGGAAGCACCAACCTCAGTCAGGCTGGATTTGAACTCAACATTGCCCGTTTTGGTAATCATTAGCTAAGAAGGAAGACTACTTAGTGGGACTCTTCAGTTCTGCTTGGCTAGACCCCAGAGTTTGGTTCATGTTAGCCCAAGAGCAGCCTCAGGACAGCCTGAGAACTATTCGGAGTCTTTAGGGGATTCTAAAGGGCCTAGGAAGGGCCCCCATCTTTTGTATTTTTACCTTCGGGGTGAAGGATGGGGGTACCTGGATGGGGTAGTTCAAAAAGGAAAGTGGCATGCCTCCGTTCATCCAAACAGTTGGCCTCAAGCCATGCTTATATCCATGTTTCTCCTTTTTCAGATGGAACAGACGTGTGAAGATATAGACCAAATGTTCAGCAATTTGCTGGGAGAAATGGACCTGTTGACCCAGGTAAGTTATCCTTTGTTTTAAAACTTTTGAATCACTGTAGGGGAAAAAATCAAATGCAATTTTAAGGTAAAAAGTGACTAATCTTTCAGAACAATGGGAGGTAGAAATCTATCCTTTTTTGGCACCCTAGCAAATATATGTATATATTGTGATCTTTTGTGCAGAGAAACAATGGGGAAAAAGTGAAAGTGGAGTAATTCAAACCACCAGCATAATCCTTTTGCTCCCTGGTACCCTGTGGCCCTAAGCAATTACAGAATAGCCCCTAAAGCAGAGCACTTCAGTCATTGCATTTTCCAAATTGTATCCTTCACCTTAAAAGCCCCAAGGCTTGAGATCCACAAAACATTTCATTTAAAGGTTTAACTCAGAAGATTGCAGCCATAAGGATAAAAATAAAAGCTAGCAGCCTATGTCCTGCTACTGCCAGAGTTTAGACAGACCCTTCTAAAAAGGCAGAGTTTTACATTTTGCCCTATAAACTCCTGGAGAGTGACTATAGAGGCTTTCAGAGACAATTCTCCATAGCCTCTTGTTCCTTTAGACAAAGATGTGTTCATTTTAAGTCATGAGGAGGGGTGGGGAAGGGAGTGGGAGATAGAAATCTCTCCTCCCTCTATTCTTTCTGCTCTACCCTATTCATGCATTTCCTCACCTTCCAAACTGTCCTCTGCTCCCCAGATTATCAGAACTTTTGAATGGAAGATTAGTGCAGATTTGAACATAAGACTTTAGGGCACTCTATATCAAAAGTATTAAGAGTCAGGGGAGGTGCCCTTCAATTAAGGAATAGCTGAACAAACTATGGTATATACTATGGTAACACTATCGTGCTGTAGGAAATGATGAGAGGGACAGTTTCAGAGAACCCTAGGAAGACTTATTTGAACTGATGCAGAGTGAAGTGAGCAGAAGCAGGAGAACAAGGCATATACATTAACAGCAGGAACAAGAATGTTTATTCTGAAGAAAAGACTTGGGTGGGGGAAGAATTGAACATGGTAGCAATCTTCAGATACTTGAAGGACTATTTTGTGGAAGAAGAATTAGCCTCGCTGTGCCTGGCTTCAGAGGAACAGTGGGCAGAAGTAGTTAATTTGGGACGTTAGAAGGAGAAATGTCCTCAAAATTAGAACTGTTCCTAGAGTGGAAGTAGCAGTGGCTTGTCCTCATTGGAAGTCTTCTGGCAAAGTCTGGAGAACCACTTTTGGTTGTATTGTAGATGGAATTCCTGCAAAGGGGTGTGTTTGCATGGTGGCTTCTGAAGTCATTTGCAGATCTTGAGGTTTTGGGATTTCATTTGCTTTTATGAAAGGCTCAACACACAAAAGAGAGTAAAATTGTAATGACAGGCCACACAACTACACTGTTCCCTTCCACATCATGACCTTTCCCATCATGGTTTCGATATATCACAGGTCAGCATAAGAAATTAAATGGAAATTTTTTGGAACACCCAAAGGCCAGCAGATGACACAGAAAAAGTTTAGAAACTCATAAATGCATAAAATATATGTATAGTGTTGTATAATATCAACATATTTTATCTTTTAATACCATAATAATTCATACTACTTCTCTGGAATGAAGGGAAGGCCAAAAATGTTTAAGTGGACTTTCTAGATCATGCCCCTAACCCCTGCGATGTGGAAGGGAGAACTATATTAGACCATTTATACAGACAGCATATACATTTCTAAAAGCTTAAATTATAATATAAAATTCAAAGAACAAAATCAAAACACTTTTTCCAATGAAGAAAAAATAGTTGCTTATGAATTTTGCTTTTCTGTCACATCTTAAGCTCTCCTTTTTGCCAGCATATTGTCGTATTGCTCAGTTACAGGATGCATTCTGAAGGAGCTCTTAATTTATATCAATGATTAGGGTGTCATCCTTTCATAAATCCCCTCCCAGGATGGGAGTGTGGCTTCTGAGAATGGCCACCTGCCTCTTCACACTCAACTTTTCTTTCTTTGAAGAATTACTCTTGGGAATTCCTTTAAATCTTTTGTCCTTAATTGCTCTAGAAATAAATTTAAGTTGGGATTTTCCATAAAGAAATAAAATGCATGGAACAATTACAACTAAGGGTATAAAAGTCTTGTTTCCTCAGGAGAGACAAGTATGAGAAGAAAATGTTCCCTCGTGGAAACATTAAACATACTCTATTATGACAGTTGCATTACCTGTGTCTTTTTTCTTTTTGTTCTATTTTTAACAGAGTTTAGGGGTTGAAACTCTTCCACCTCCTATGCCTGACCCACCCCATACTGAATTTAACTACAGTGTTGGTTTTAAAGATTTAAATGGTAAGTATACTTTTTTTCATGAATAATATAATTGAAATACAAATGTTGACTAAAAACGTATTTGGATTCCAGATGGGTTCATGGGTGAATTTTTCAAACTTCCAAAGTTATCTTTCATTGCACAGGTTTATAAATATAGAGTTGTGGCAAGGAATCCAGTTCCTTTGATGAGACAGATGTACCACTGACTTTAAAACTTGGCAAAATCAACACTAGAAAAAAAAGAAAATCATATACAAATTGCCCTAATGAATATAGATAATAAAATGCTAAATAAAATGTTAGCAGAATAAAGCAGTGCAAACAAATGTTGTTTGTGACGAAATAGAATTTGTACCAATATTTATTAGACTAGTTTAATATTAGAAAAAACTATCAATATAATAAACCAAATAAATAATATATAAAACTATGTTATCATAATAATGGATGCAGAAACATCTGGATAAAACCCAACACTTATTTATAAAATGACATATTTCTCAAAATTCGTGGGAAGCCTCTAACTCCTACTCCAGGGCCTCATCGCAATATGAAGGTGAGCCAAGGTTCCTGAAGTCTGTGCTAGCACCAAGACAGAAAAAAAAATATTAGAAAGATTAACACTGAAAAGAAAGAAGTCAGAATATTATTATTTGTCATTGGCATAATAGCATCTAGAAAGTCTAAGTGTCTGAATAAAAAAAATTAATTGAAATGCTAAGTGAATTCAGCAAGTTTGTCAGAGAGAAAGTATACCGACAAAAATTGTTCACATTCTTTTAGACATTGAAGATCAGAAAATATTCTTTTAAAAAGGAATCAGTAGTAACTACCAAAAAAGCCCCAACTACTAGCAAATTAACTTATATAGACAAATGTGGCTTTTATTAAGACAACCATAACACTCTACTGACAGAAATAAAGGTCTTAATAATCGAAGCAATATTTAATGTTCATGAATAGTTCAAATCAACATCATAAAAATTATAATGTTCCATAAATCAATTTGTACATTTAATAGAATGCTAATCAAAATATCAGTGGGTTTCTTCATAATACTCTGATAGGTTTCCCTTCACTCATAGATTTCTAAGCAGAGGGTGAATGACCATTTTCCATCCATGTTGTAGAAAGAATTCCATGGATTAGATGGGTGGCCTATGAGATTCTGTGAACTGTATAAAATAGTAATGAAATTTATATGGGAAAACAAACGAGCAAGTATTATAAGGGGATATGGGGTGGGGTTGGATTTGAGCATATTATATAGTAGTTGTCACTAAAACTATCTGGTACTAGAAGGAAATTTAAAAATCGGCCAGAACAGAAAAAATTTCAAGACCTTAAACCAAATAACGTGTAAAAGATTAGTTTTAACAATTCTATAGAAAATAAAAGCTGGACGAAGTACTCATTATGTAATAACCAGTACGGCAATTGATTATCTGTATAGTAAAAAATAAAATTTAACCCACGCCTTATACAGATGCCACAGTAAATTCCAAATAAATTTGAGACAAACAAAAATAATTATAAAAGATGAATAAAATGGAATAATATCTTTATCTTAGTTGTGGAAGTAAGATGCAGTTTTAACTATTAAGCAAATAAAAGAAATTATTTCAGAAAAGGTAAGATTTACTGAAATACACAAAAAATTAAAGGTTTCTTTACAACAAAAAGTGTTATAAGCAAGGCAAAAAAAAGCTAGAAAAATATTTGAAGCAAATATATAAACATTTAAAGTATTGTAAGGCAAAACCTAGTCCCAGTTACTTACAAGAGCAAAAGATACAAACAGACAATTTATAAGCAAAGAAAATAAAAAAAATTTTTTGTAATCACCAGAAAGATACTCAGCTCTACTAATTATCAAAAAAAAGCAAATTAAAGCAACTCTGTGGTACCTCTCCACAAACCCCTGGCAGAAACAATTTAAAATTACAAAACTTGATGCTGGCAGAGTTTGCGGAAACATAAATTACTGGTGGAATTGCAAAGTGATAATCATTTTGGAGAGCACTCTGCAAGGCTAGTATAAGAAGCTTTGGGTTTTGTTTTTTTTAATAGTCATACCGAATAGGATATTGAGACTGTGTGTAGAAGGGAGAGGAACATGTTCAAATAAGAATTTGAAACATAATGTACAACAGGGAATGACTGAATAAATTGTCATATTAATGTCATAAAATGGTAAGTGATTAAGAATGACAAGTATAAGGAATATCTGGACAGATCCATATGAAATGACTAAAAGCAAAGAAAAAAATCAGATCAGCTGCATAGTACCAACTAAGACTATATAAATGGGAAAATGTATACATAGGGATGAATGGACAAAAAGAAAGTTAAACAGAGACATGGGGGAATTACCATAATGTTGTTATGGACATTTTAGGCATGGAAATTAATATATTCAAATGTAAATAACTGTAAAATATGTTTTATTTACTCTGCCAATGTTTAAAATTGAGTTTATGACTAATTGCAAATTTGTTCCATTTAAAAATCTACATGGGAAAAAAAACTGAATGTTGTGATTATGTAAATAAACATTCACTCTAAAAAATACATATGGCTTCAATCTTAAAAAATAGAAAAGATTTTGAAAGTCAGGAGTAAGACTCAAAAAAACTGTGGATTTTCGTTGGAATAATAGGTGTTACTAGGGTTTTGCTTCCTTAATTTTAAATTTATTAACATATTACTATTGGTAATTAAGGAACATGTCAATCTGAATAAGTAGAAAGGCCACCTGTATTGTAAATATTTTTTAAGAAATATAGAAATAGCGGCAGCTAGATGGCACAGTAGATAGAGCACCAGCCCCGGAGTCAGGAGAACCTGAGTTCAAATCTGGCCTCAGATACTTGACAATTACCAACTGTGTAACCCTGAGCAAGTCACTTGACCCCAATTACCTCACCCGAAAAAAAGATAGGTAAATATAATATTTTGGTTTTTTTTTTAGTTAAAGGCACATATATTAAAATGGCAATTAGATCAAACAGGTGTTGACAGATTGTGTACCTTTGAGTCAGTCAATCAACAAAGATTTATTTAGCACCTGCTAGGTACCAGGCACTGTTCTAGGCTGTGGAGATATAAATGCAAACAATAAAACAATTCCTGCTGAAAGGAGCTTACATCCTAGCAACAAATGCTTATGTACATATGTGCACATGCATATATATGCATATTTGTGTATGTATATATACATGTATGTACAATACTAGCACAACTTTTTATACTTATGCTATATATCATAAATATAATTTTAAAATACAACATGCACAAAGTAGTTAAATATATGGTAGGTTGGGAGAAAGGGCTCTATCAGTTGGAAGAGGGAATCAGGAAAGGTTTCTTGTAGAAGATTCTTTTAATGGCAAAGAATAGTTTATAAGTTGTATGATAATTGTTAGTATGTTAATAGGTATTTTGAAACTATTTGATAACAGTTTATCTTCATAGATACTTAAATATTCCCCCCTGGAATCTTGTTTATATTTAACTTTCATTAAACTTCAGTATTTCAGGAGTCTGTAATGTCATTTGTATGAAGTCCCCTTCCACTGATGCACACTGCAGTATTTCTATGCTTAGCTCATGGGACTTTCTATGGCCAAAAAATTTATTACCCCACAGCCATCTTAGTGATGAAACTGAATTTAGCCAACCTGGTCTTCCTGCTAGAGATATATCTATCTCTGGACCTTTCTAGCTTGGAAAGATCTGCCAGAGATAATAGTTCATTGGTATAGCCTTGGAGAATCTTATTGATAAATTCACTTTTCCTGTCTTCTCCAATGCCTTTCATGCTTCATCCAGGTTTGTTAGACCACACAGAGTTGCCTTTATGTTTTTGCGTATGGTACCCTCACCTAGAAAACCCATCTTTCCCATTCTTTCTCTGAATCTCTACCTATCTTTTTTTTAAAAACTGGCTCATATGTAATTTTCTTTTTTTTTATTTTAATTTTTATTTTTAGGCAGTTGGGGTTAGGTGACTTGCCCAGGGTCACACAGTAAGTGTCAAGTGTTTGGTCTGAGCTCTGATTTGAACTCAGGTCCTCCTGACTTCAGGGCTTTGTGCTCTATCCGCTGTGCCACCTACCTGCCCCCATATGTAATTTTCTAAGAGCCGTTTCCCAGTCAATAAGTGATCAAAAGATATGTACAGTTTTCAAAAGAAGAAATGCAAATGATCAACAATGATATGAAAAACTCCTCCGTATCACTAATAGGAAGAGAAAAGTCAATTAAAACAACTGTAGAGTGTCACGTCACACCCATCAAAGTAGCAAAAGATGATGAATGAAATTAATCCATATGAAATTTAAGCAGGCCTGGAGATTAATGTACACAGTGATTACAGACATAATGAGTATAAGCAGGTGATCTCTGATAAAGGTAATGAATAGTTTTGGTGCCTTAAATAACACAATGAAAAACATTACTCTCACTGGCAAAATGTTTCATATGTTTTCAAAAATACTTGCTGTGCTGGCTAATGTGTCTTAATTTTTAGTTAATTACTTTTAATTAATTCTTACTTTGTTACAAGGGAGGGGTTTATTGGTGGGAGGAAGGGAGAGTGTGATAAGGGAAGGGGAGACAGGCTTTGAATGGATTGGGACTGACTGGTATAAACACACAAAGCATCATTAAGTCTTTTTTTTTTCAATCTCACATCCTCCAAAACATCTTTTACTCTTCAGCCCCCTAGCACTTCTGTACAGTTCCTTACCACTGAGTTTGCTGACTGCCTGCTTTAACGATTTCTTGAAGTACTTTTTTGTTTATTTTAACAGAATCATTAAATGCACTGGAGGACAATGACTTAGATGCTCTAATGGCTGACCTTGTAGCAGATATAAGTGAGGCAGAGCAGAGAACCATCCAGGCCCAAAAACAAGCTTCTCAGCACCAACCGAACACAGCATCTCAGTCGTCATCATTCCTGGGCAATGGAGCTTCCCTTGGTTATAAGGCAAACTTTACCAGCACGGGTATTAGCCTTTATGAGGATGAATTGCCTCCCCCACCTGCTGACCCTGTATTAGACCTTCCACCCCCTCCACCTCCTCCTCCTGAACCTCTCACTCAGGTAAAGTGGCAATATACATTGATTCTTGGCACTAATACTCTTTAACTTTTGGCGTAATTTTTTTCAACATCTCTTGAGGTTTTATCACATTTATTCAAATCTGTGATTCCATTGGTGTAGGATAGTGATGTCAAATTCAGATAGTGGCAGGGGCCACTAAACCGTACATAAAGATCCCTGTGAGACTTGTAAAGCCACATATTAAAATTATTCATGCTTTATTGTATTTTTTTTATTGTGTTAAGTATTTCCCAGTTACATTTTAATGTGGTTTGGGCTGCACTTGAGAATATTGTGGGCCACAGGTAGCCAGTAGACTATGCTTGACACTTCTGGTGAATGGAACTTCCAGGGAAGAACCCTTCCTCTGCCTATGCATATTGGCCACTGTTTTTGAGTATAAGGTATCAGAAAGTTTCCTGGAATGCTGAAAGATTAGGTGACTTGCCTGGGATCATGCCGCCAGTATGCGTCAGAGGTAGGGCATGAACTGAGGTCTTTCTGATTCCAGGGTACCATTATACCACACTACCCTTCTGTATAAAAAGGAAGGAAAGATGAACAGAAGGAGGAGAGAAAGGGAGGGAGGATTTATTAAATGATTACTATGTACTGGGTACTGTGATAAGCATTTTATAAATATCTCATTTGATTCCCACAACTACTCTGTGAGGGAAACACTATTGTGATCCCTGTTTTACAGATGAGGAAACTGAGGCAGGCAAGTGAAGTGACTTGCCCAGGTTCACATAGCTAGTAAGTGTCTAAGTCTGAATTTTAACTCATCTTCTTTACTCTAGGCCCAGCACTCTAACCATTGTGCCACCTCTGTACTATAGCTGACTATAATAATAGCACATAGAGTGACTTACGGTTTGCAAAATGCTTTGCACATCATTATCTCCTTTGATCTTCTCAACAACCCTTTGATGTAAGTGTTATTTTCTCTATTTTATAGATGAAGAAACTGAGGAAGAGAAGTTAAGTGACTTGCCTAGGGTCATATAGCTGGTAATGTCTGAGGCTAGATTTGAATTCAAGTCTTCCTGAGTCCAAGTCTAGCATCTTTCCTGTGCTACTTTGCTGCCCCTAGATATATCACCTAGCTACCCACATTAAATCAAACAAAACTTAGGTAGCCCCCTTGCCACTCATAGATCACAATATGACCATTCAGTGACATTTTCTGCTTTGAGGAACTCCAAGACCACTGTTCTTATTTAAAGGCATTTAAGCATCAGGTCAGGACTTGCTATGATTTACAGTGGCTCCAACATAGAAGGTGAAGAAGAGTATGTAACTTAAGCATCTAGCATTTCAGAATCTTGTATCTGTCTGGTGACATCTATGTTACATTAAATAACAATATAAAATTTGAAAAGTCCGGTCAAAACTCTGGCTATTTCCAAAGCTTTGGATTATTTGACCACATTCTCTCCTCCTGTCTTCTCCAGGGCTTATACCATTGGTCATTCCTTCTCTTTCAATTTCCATCTTTTTTCTCTCTTAGTTCCTTTCCTCCTGCCTACAAACTTGCTAAAGTCTCAGAATGCTAAATCAAAAAACAAAACAAAAACCCTTCCCTTCAGCACTGCCACTCTGTCAGGTTATTGTCATTTGTAGATAAATGTCTAATTATTATTTTAAAAATTTATTACATAGCATATGTGCTGTAGCAGTAGTGACTTAAAAACACAGTATCTCCTCTAAATTCTGTGCGCTCAGCACATTTTTTCAATAAATACTTCCCATTCATTAGTAATAATGGTAATATCAATAGTAGTCCAACCCAAACAGTGCAATGCATTGACAGTTATTGTTTCAGTAGCAATAGCTTCACTTCTAGAAAGAGTAATTTATACTTGTGATCCCTCTGTAGTATAGCTTTCATTCTTCTTCCCTCATTGAAACTGCTTATCCAAGTCCCTATTCTCCCAGCCAGCTGGTCAACCTCAATAGAGCTGCCCCAAGAATTAACTGCTATCACTAAGATCCACAGTGACCTCTTAAATGCCATACCAGTGGCTTTCTCAGCATCCTTTTTGACCTTTGTGTAAGAACTTGACAATCATTGCTTCTGCTTCCATTATGCTGTGTTTTCCCAAGTCTCCTCTTAACCTAACTAAAAGATACTTTGCCTGGATTTCTCTTCTGTCCTTATCACATTACACCTTGTATTACTTGTTACATGTGTCATACTCACTATTAGAATGTAAGCTTTCTGAAGACAAGGACTGTGTCAGTTTTAAAAGTATTATTAGTGCCTTGCACATAGTAAGACTTTAATTACTTTTGTCGAACTTGTTATTAAATTATATAGACAAAATGTCAAGTTTCCCAGTTTCTAAAACACTCAAATCTGGAAGCCTTACAACCATAAGGTACTTCCACATGATCCTCTTATTAGGTTAACATTGCTACATTCCTCAAAAGTAAAGTCCATCAGGACCTTGAATTCTGAATCCCTGAAAAAAATTGCAAAAAATCCAAAAGCAAGGAATGTGAATTACTAACCAAATGCTGTAACAGCCAAATATTGTAAATAGAAATTAAAATTTATTAGCCAAATACTGTAACAGCCAAATATTGTAAATGGAAAATAAAATTTATTAGCCAAATACTGTAAATAAACATAAAAAGTCAAAACAAAAATGAAAACAATGTTTTGTTTTTAAAAGTACATAGTTAAGACTTGTAATTTCACAGCTTATATTTATTTTAACATTTCTTTGAAGCTGAATAAAGTTTCTGGGATTTTGCTGATGGGGGTTATTCATCCCCATTTTTTACTTTTACATAGAGTTTTTATAAGGTGAGGTAAAAGTCCATAGGCTTCTGTGATGGAAATGGTTTACATGTCTTAATAAATGAGACATGTAAATGTGTCCATGAGCATGTGCGGGTTATTTGGCTATTTTCAGTATTTATTTTAATTTAAGTATAAAAAGTTTCTATTTATGTGTAGGGACTGTCTTGATAATATTCATCATCTGTTTTTAGGACTTTGATTTACCTTGTATAACATACTGACGGATGTTTAGTAGAAATATGTTTTTAATCATTTTCCAATTTTTCTTTTGATACTGAATATTTGCTGTTTATTCGTGGTTTCTTTTATCTGGAGCACATGGAGAAAGACAAATTTCATAAACAATTAACTAACTGTTCACAGTAGGGAGACAAAGGTTTCAAGATGTTCCTCTTTGCCTCATGTTTTCCAAGGCAATTATTTAGACTCTGCCCACAGACAGGGTCAGATTTATGTACCTGGATAAGCAGTGCGAACAGAAAAGCTGGCTAGGAAACAGAATCCTCTTTATAGAAGTCTTCTCAAGAACTGTAGTGATATACTCCTTTTATTTCAGTCTTCCCTATATTTTTCACTTAAAGGAAAAGAAAGAAAACTGCAGTAACAATAACCTCAGTTTTTAAGAGCCTAGTATCTACTCACCAGACTGAGCTATAAAAACTCTTCATGTATTTTCAAAGAGGAAATAGCTTTTAGCCTTCGAAAGAAGGAATAGTGTCTATGTGTGAGCCACTGTATATATGATTAGGAAGAAATGGCTCTGGCCTTTATCACAGGACTTACACCATATGTTCAGATGTGAACTCAGTAGTAATGGCAGAAAATATATGTTATCTCCATCTCGTGGAGAGGCCATTTAGAAAGATAAGGGCCTCTACCTCCTTCTCACTGGGGTTAAGAAACAGAAGTATGGTTTGGACATAGGGTTATCACTCTTGTGTCCCCTTGAACTCTTTCTGACTCCTCATGAAGGGCTACTTCATGAGTACCAGAAGGTACTTACAGAAGGCTTATTCTGTAGGACCAACGGAGGGCTAAAAGATTCTTTCAGAAGTCCCCAGACTGAAATTCTTTTTCATTTTGGTCCCCCATGAAGTGTTGAGCTCTACATATAACACTAGGAGGTTATCTCGATAGAGTGGAAAGAGTGCCTACTCTGCAGTTAAAGGACCTAAGTTCAAATCCCATCTCTGAAACTTACCCTTATAACTTTGGACAAGTTATTAATCTCCTGGTGCTTTAGTTTACTCTTCTGTAATGTGCAAGGGTAGGGTTGGACCAGATGTTCTCTGAGGTTCCTTCTAGATCTACTATCCTCTGTTCAAATGGGACCCTCTGTCTCTGGTGAGAAGTATTAGAAAAGTACCTTATTGCCAAGGGCATATTTATGTGGAAAAAATGGTGATGACCATTGGTATCATCAATATTTCTGTACTGTATAAATCAGTACTTCCAAGATCCATGATTCTGTTAGTGTGAGTCTTCTGTCCACCAATTTAGATCCCAACCCCTTTGTGATTCAGTGAATCGTCTTCGTGAGTTGCTCACTACTGCAGAGGTAACATGCCATTCTTGGAAATCTTGGCTGCCAATAACATTTCCACGTGCAAGCGTTGAAAGGACCACATGAGACAGTCTTTGTTGTACCTTATAACATCAAAACTATCTTGTTTTGTGGGCATATAGTAGACACTAAGTGTTTGTCGAATAAATAAATAAATAAGTGAGTGAATGAATGAATGAATGAATGAGAAAATAGAAACAGATAAGAGCCTGGGCAGACCATGATGATGTGATTCTTTTCAAGTGAGGACTTTAGCAAAATCTATTATAACTCTGTAATGTTAGGGGATGATTAAATTACAGAAGGTAAATACCAGCATTCCTCGTGCATCAAATTTTCTGGAATCTAAACAACCAGAAAGCCCTAATGACCAAAACTGTTTTTTTCTGCAAGGATTTTAAATAAACAATGACAATGGCACTGAATCATTATGGATTTAACTGAGTTTCTATGCTTTATTTGTCTGTTGTAATGAAGTGGAATCATTGTCCATAGGGATGACCTGGAGGCATTGAAAGATCCTCAAGTGCCCTCCAGATCTTTAAAAAGTGGGTTTTGCATATTTTTAGGATTAAGTGTGTTTATTATGTTGTAGTTCTTTGAAAATTGGTGACCATCTAGAGTGTGTATAGCTATACTCAATTAACCAAAATGCTGAATTCATCAGAATGCTCCATTTTCCAATGATTCTGGATTAACAGAATTGCCCTGTTTGTAACACTTTTGAAATTCTTATTATTTTGTCTTTTCCATAGAACAACTTCAAATTCAACCTAGGTTTTAAAGACTGTCCCTCCACCTGTCTAACTCTGCAGGTTCTTCGAATTCCTGTTCTCAGGACAAAAACATGAATTAATCAAAAGGCATCATGTTGACCTGGAAATATTGTCCCATCTTCACCCTGCCTGCTCGCTTGGGTTTATTTCTGTTTTGTTGTCTTCTCCATTTGTATTTTCTTAAGGAACAGAGGGGCTTGTTAGATTTAATTCTGTGAGCCATTGTTCTAGTCCTCTTTACCTTTACAAAGGGCACTCGTCATGGGAGAGCCAGTGATTGGCTTCCATATTTATTTTGAGTGGAGGATATTCCTTGAACTCTAGATTTTAAGAAATGGCTCTGGCCTTTATCACAGGACTTATACCATATGTTCAGATGTGAACTCAGTAGTAATGGCAGAAAATATATGTTATCTCCATCTCGTGGAGAGGCCATTTAGAAAGATAAGGGCCTCTACCTCCTTCTCACTGGGGTTAAGAAACAGAAGTACGGTTTGGACATAGGGTTATCACTCTTGTGTCCCCTTGAACTCTTTCTGACTCCTCATGAAAAGAAATTTTGGAAGAGGAAACAAGTAGGGTAATTTTGTTATTACCGCATTAAATTTACTATATAATTTTATATGCAGTCTTCATTTTTGTTCATATTCTGAAATGTTCATTTATTGATGACGATTAAGCCTGTAATAAAAAATATTTTTAGAAAAGATGTCTCCATGCTGTGGCCTTTTGTCAGTACGTAGCAGCATTACACAGATGACTACCGATAGTCATAAGTTTTATTTAAAGGCTTATGTTGAGTGCCTTACTGTCATTACAGGAAGAAGAAGAAGCACAGGCCAAAGCTGATAAAATCAAGCTCGCCTTGGAAAAACTGAAGGAGGCCAAGGTTAAAAAGGTAACAAATACAAGCACCTTTTATCAGAAGTTTAATTATAATCCTGTTTCATTATCTCTCATGTTAAGATGAACGTTGGGAAATGTTTCTTTCTACCCTCAAATTTCCAGAGATAAATAAAAGTTATTTGCATTTTGCCATCACCGGAAGCGGAGGGAGAGAGTATTTGCCTAGTGGTGATTTTGTTGAAGGGGGAAGCCTGATGTGAGCCAGGCTCTGGTCATGTTGAATACCTACAAGGCTTGTTTATACCGCTCATTTCACATGAATCACCGTTTGGTAGTTATGATGCATCTGTGTTTCGTCTTTCCCCCTTGTTTCCTTATCTTTATAATGAGTATAATACTAGCACCCACCTCCCAGGGTTGTGGTGAGGACCAAATGCCATATGTCAAGGCCTTTTGCATACCTTCAAGCACTCCGTAAATGCTAGCTATTATTATTATGATAATTATAATGATATCTAAGGTTTATATCTAGCCTTTTTTTTTAGCTGTTTGGTAAGGCAGTCAGGGTTAAGTGACTTGCCCAGGGTGACACAGCTAGTAGGTGTCAAGTGTCTGAGGCTGGATTTGAACTTGGGTCCTCCTGATTTCAAGGCCAGTGCTCTATCCACTGGGCCACCTAGCTGCCCCCTGCAGGGCTTTTGATGTACATTATTTCACTACACCCTCACAATAACCTTTTAGATATTTATTATCATCCCCATTTTGCAGATGAAGAAGCTGCCCATAGAGAATCCTTCTTCTGTGAGAGGTTTCTTCACAGAAGAAATAAGCAGAGGACCTAAGTTTTATTCCCAGGTCCATCACTAACTAGGTGTATGACCTTAGGCAAGTCACAAATACTTGGGGGCCTTGTTTTTTATAAAATAAAGGAGTTGGATTTCTAGTCCTGGGACTGTCCTCTGACTGCTTTTGATTAGGATTCTCCTGGGAGGGGCCTGACAAAATCCCCTACACTGATCAATGCCATTTCTGATAACATCTGAAAGAAAGAAAGGGAAAAAATCTGAAAAATGAAAGATTTTAAAAACTTGAAAGAATTCACTTCTTTTAAGCAACTGAATTATCTACCAATCAATTAATCAATAAGCATAGACTTATTATAGGTAATACAAGGATAAAAGAATGAAATCATTGCTATGCTCTGAGTGAGACAAGAAGCACATGTTTTATAACATTGTTCTAAAAGTCTTTGGGCCGTTTTAAGCAACTGAAGTTTAAACAGCACTAAGACTTTTGGGATATCCTGCATATAACTATATACAGACTATATATAAGGACACTAAATACAGAGTAGTTAAATCCAGGGTAATTTATGGGAAGGAAGAGGGGGGAGTTAGGGGAGTAGCACCAAGATTGGGATCCGGAAAGGCTTTATGTATAAAGTAGTCCTCAAGCTGTGGCTTGAAGGTTAAATACAGTGATGTATGGCTCTTTAAGAGGAGGAAATGAAGGGGAAAAAAAAGAAAGCAAACATATACAGAAGACAGGATGTACCAGCAAGAAGCATCCCAGCTCTCTACCTCAACAGACACTTGGGGAATGGGTGAGAAGTACAGTAACTATTTCCTGCCCTGACAATGAGAGAACTTTGCAGTTCCGCTTAGACAAATTAGAGCCTGCATCCTCCACCCCTAAGCAGCTTTGGGGCAGCGCAGGAGAAGTCTAGCTAAAGCCAGCATTGAGAACTGGGAGCAGCAGCTAAGGTCCAGTCAGGCCCTGCCGGGGAGGGCACAGAGAGAGGAAGGCAGATCAAAAGGCCATGCTGTGTTTCTTTGTATTTCAGGCACTTCAGATAGAGTACTGAAACCAGGAGTTGTTTTGTGGTGCTGAATAGTAATAGAATATTTGCCTAATCCAAAACACATTTTTTTTAAACAAAGGAAGCCTAGTCTGTCTGGAGTGTTTCGAATGCCCTCAAGCGTTGCTGAAGGAGGTTGTCTCTGCTTATTCTGGGTGTGGCTCCGGGGTTCCAGGCTGCTTTGGACTTTTCAGAACCAGACAGCTGGTTGAATTGTCGTTGGCAATGATGACAGAGTGAAACCATCCAGTTGTCAGTTTCACTTTCAAAGAGGAAAATGTATCTGTAAATATAGGTTTATAGACAGATGGATAGCCTTAGGATCTTTGAGTCATAGATTTAGAGATGGAAGGGACCTTACTTAGCAGCTACCTGGTCAAACTTTTTTTTTTTAAACAAATGAAGGGGGGGCTCAGATTCTTACAATCTAGCCAGTAGCTCACTAGTGTTCAAACTCCTGAAGAATCTAGCCAATATGATGAATGTTCTAATAAACCTTATCTTTGGCTGAAAAAAAAAATGAAGGGGGCAGCCAGATGGTGCAATGGATAGAGCACTGGCCCTGAAGTCAGGAGGACCTGAGTTCAAATCCGGCCTCAGACCAAACAGTTGACACTTAACTAGCTGTGTGACCCTGGGCAAGTCATTTAACCCATTGCCTAAAAAAAACAAATGAAGAAACTGAGGCTTAGGTGAAATAAAGTGACATGTTCGAGGTAGAAGAAGCAGTCAGTAGCAGAGCTGGAACTCAGAATCAGGTCCCTTGATTCCAAATTTAGTGCCCTTTAAACTACACAATATTAACTTCTATATAAGTAACAAAGTCACTGAAGTTGTTGAAAAATCATTGCCTCAGATTAAGAGGGTGCATGTTTTTCATTTTTGTGTTACACTAATTCCCTCGTATTTTTCTTTTTGACCTTGATCTGGAATTTCGTTGGTTTAATAATAGCTAACACAATAACAAAAGTAGTAATAATAGCTAACATTTATATAGTGCCTACTGTATGCCAGGCATTATGCTAGGTGCTTTACAATTATTATCATATGTGATCCTCACAACTGCCCTGGGAGGTAGGTGTGGTTATGATCCCCATTTTACAGATGAGGAAACTGAAACAAAACTAAGTGACTTGTCCAGGGTCCCACAGCTAGTAAATATCTCAGGCTGAATTTAAACTCACATCTTCCTAATTCCAGGCCCTGAGTTCTATCCACTGTACCATCTACTTGAGTTTAAGGAACTCCCAGTGAGGAACTTTTCTTTTACAAGTACAGATTGGCACCTGTTCTGAAATTTATAGTGCTAAAGATTTGCCTGGGGGCACCAAGAGGTTCATAGAATCATTCATTTATAACTTAGAGGGATAAGTGCCCAGGATGAGACAGCCACTGTATGTCAGATGTGAGATTGGAATCCAGGTCTTCTGCCTCTTTCTCTGGGTCCTCAAGTGCAGAGGATTTGTTCTGTGAAGTTTGGATTTGGTCAAAGGGCTACATTTGAGGATCTAGAGGGCCACATGTGGCCCTGAAGGCCACTGGTTCCCCACCCCTGCATTATACCATAACTTCATTCTTTCCCAAACATAGATAATATAAATGCAAATATTCTGTTATAGACCTATAAAGCTAACATGTCTGTGATTTATAGCTGACGTAGGAAAGATAGCATAGTGGATAGAGTGCTAGACCTGGAGTCAGAAAGACCTGAGTTCAAATCTGCCTTCAGACACTTAGTAGCTGTGTGACCGTGAGCAAGTCACTTAAATCTCTCTTTGCCTCAGTTTCCTCACCTGTAAAATGGAGATAATCATAACACCTACTTCCTAGATCAAGTGAGATAATATTTGTTAAGTGTTTAAAGTGCTAACTAAATGGTGGCTATTATTATTAACGTACAACTTGAAAATGCTGATGAGCACTAAAGAAGCATGGCGACTATAAGCACATCTGCAAGTAGTGCACAGCTGGGCAAAACCGCTAGGCTTTCCTACCTTCCCTATGTTTCCAGTCTTCTCACACCTTACACTTCTCCCTCGCCGCTACCATTTCGCCCCATACCTAGAGTTCTCCCCTCCCTCCTCTCTGTCCCCTGGCTTTCCTTGCTGCCTCCAAATATCTCCTTTTCCAAGAAGCTTTTCCCAATCCCCCTTAATTCTAGTGCCTTCCTTTTGTTTAACTCAAATGTATTCTGTGTATCCATTGTTTGTATGTAGTTGTTTGCATGTTGATCCTATGAATTCTCCACTGCCCATGTACCTGGCATATAGGGAACGATAAATGCTTTATCTATTTTTAATTAAAATGTCAAATTAATGTGGTCTTGGTTTTTTCTCCATTAGGGAAAGAACCGGCAAAAAAAAAAAACCTTTATTTTTTCATGGAATTCTCAACAGGAATGAAGGGAAGGAAGGAAGGGAAGGGAAGGAAGAGGGCAAGAAAGGAATTAAGCATTTATTAAGTGATTACTACATACCAGGTACTGTGATAAGTGCTTTATATCTCATTCGATCCTCATAACAACCTCAGGAGGTAGGGACTATTATGATCCCTATTTTAGTTGAGGGGGACTGAGGCAGACAGGTTAAGTGACTCGCCCAGGGTCACACAGCCAGTAAGTGCCTGAGTTCGCATTTGAACTCAGGTCTTTATAACTCCAGGCCCAGTGTGCTACACGCTATGGCACCACCTAGCTGCTTCTAGGGTGACACTCTAGAATGGAGTGCTTTACCGTGTTATCAAAGGTTTTCCTAAACGTCCCTCTCACAGATTTTATACAAGGAATTTGGCAGTAGCACAGAGGAATAGATGTGTCTTCCAAAGCAAATCGAGCTGAAGAGTGCTAAGGGAGTCAGTCTGCATCATTGGGGCAAGCCCTACGCACCTCGTTTATGAAGGCCATATGGTTTCGTTTTAAATTAACTGAAAGCAAATACAGCTACACCTGGATTTTCTTTTTGTAGGTTATTATGTGACCTTGGACAAATCACTTGATGTTTCTGGGCCTCAGTTTCTTTATCTGAAAAAAAGGAGGAGGTCGTGGACTTCCCATTTTAGATCTGTGATCCTATGAATTCTCCATTACCCCTACTTCCAGAGGGAGGGGACTTTCCGGGTGGAAGAAATGTAGCAGAATCGTCAGAGCAATATGCTATCTGGTGCCACATTCTAGAGCTCTGTGGCACTCCACTGAACTGCCACCTGCTCAAAGTTATGTCACCCTACACATAGGGTATGCAGCATCTACTATGTTGGGCTTAAATTTACTTTTAAAAGAGGCACAGTAGATACAGCAGCGGCCATGGACTCAGGAAGACCTGAGTTCAAATTACTAGCTGTGTGACCTTGGGCAAATCACTTAACCCTGATTTGATTCCCCCCCCCCCCAAAAAAAAGTGTCTCTTAGAAATGGGAGTGATGGATCATGCCTGTAATGCCTGAGATTGGTGGACCTCTTGAACTAGAGAGTTCTGAGATGTAGTGGGCTAAGCCAATTGAATGTCTATGCTATGTCTAGTACTAATATGGCCAGTCTTCTGGGTGGATGGGGTTAACAAATTGCCTAAAGAGGAACACTCCAGCACAGGTAGGAAAAGGGAGCAAGCCAAAGCTGCTATGCCCATAAGCAGTGGGATCAAACTCATGAGAGGCCATTGCACATCTAACATGAGCAAGATAGGAAGACCCAGTCTCTTCTCTTACCCCCCCCCAAAAAAAAGAGCGCCTTTAAAAATTTTTTGGTTTCGTATCCTCATTATCTACCACAGTGCCTGGCATATCGTAGGTGTTTAATAATTGCTTGCAGATTGATTAATTCATTAATGCCGAGCATTATTTTTAAAATTCTCCTCTTGTGTTCTAACAGTTCATAGGACAAAAGGTATGTATGTGCTAAAGGGCAGACAACAGGAGTTCTTAGCCTGGGGTCTGTGAACGTGTTTCTTTCTAAAAAAAATTTTAACTATTTCAACATAATTGGTTTCCTTTGTACTCGTGTATTTCATTTTATGCATTTTCACGCTGCCAAAAGATTTAATAACACAAAGGTTAGAAACCCCTGGTGTACAAGAAATTGTAACTTTCAAGTTGATTCTTTCTTATCTCTCTACCAGGGTGGGGAGGCCACATGTGGCCCTCTAGGTCCCCCAGTGAGGCCCTTTAACCATGGCCTAAAGGCCAAAGTTTCCCCGCCCCTGCAGTCTAAACCATCTTCTTGAGTAGACTAGCCCCCACCATCTACCAAAATTAACCAGTTCTTTAATGACTCTATGCTCAGCTTGTCGTCAAGGTACACATGAATGACAACAGCACTAAGTCACTGATGGTGGATGAGCGGCAGCTAGCACGAGATGTTCTGGACAACCTCTTTGAGAAGACCCACTTCGATTACAACTTGGATTGGTGTCTTTATGAAATATACCCAGAACTACAAATCGGTGAGTTTCATAGTCATGAAGAGACTGTGAGTGGCACCCAAAAGTGTTGGGTTTTTGTATTGCCAGTGGTCTAGTATTAAATGAGATGGCTTATATCAGAGCTATCTTGAGTCCGCATTTGTCCTTTTCCCTCTTCTATAAGATTTAATACCTACTCTTGAATTTCCTTGTTAGGGAAAGACCAGCATGGCGGCAGGTGGCCAGACCACAGAGGCAACGGGCATTTTTATTGTCCATGTTCCCATTAGAGGGTGACACTTCTCATTGCATGCCCAGTGAAAGGATCATATTGTGGAGATGTCAGCTTATGTCTCTTTCCAGGGTTTGCAGCCTTAAACTGGAGTGCATCACTTTACCATAGACCTAGATATTAGTCATCCTCCTCCCTTGGATGACAATAGTGTTCACTGGGCAGCTAAAAAGTTCCCTCTTGAGCGGTCTTGATGAGTTTACCCACCTGCCATTGATAGAGCTAGAAAAGATGAAGGAATAGGTGGAAGAGATTGATCAGGGTTGGGGAGACAAGAAAGATGTAAACGAGCACTTTGTTTACCCCTTCTCCATCATCTTTCCCCACTCAACTACCTCTTCTCGTGAGGTCATTTGTATAGTTGATAGAGCAATGGACTTGGAGTCGGGAAGAGCTGGGTTCAAATTCTGTAGAGACACTTTCTAGCTATGTGGCCTTGGCCAAGTCATGTAATGTTTTGAACTTCGGATAGGATGATCAAGAGGACCAAATGAAGGAAAAACCCACTATATAAATATGAGTGATTATTATCCTCAGACTTTCCCAGTTTCCTAAGATCAGGGTCATCCTGGACTTTCCCCCCTCTCCTTCACACCCTTATTTCATCTGTTGCTACGTCTTATAAATTCTGCCTCCATACCATCTCTCACATTGCTACGTCTTATAAATTCTGCCTCCATACCATCTCTCACATTGGTCCTCTTCTCTGCATTCACATGGCCTCCTAATTCATTCCCTCCTCCCAGCTTGCCATCCCTCCCCAGTCCAGTCTCTGCTTAGCTGCCAAAATACTTTTCTCAAGGACCATGTCATTCCCATGACTCAGAAACCTGTAGTGGTTCCTTATTTCCTTTAGCACTGAATTCCAGGCCTGGAGTTTTTGGCCATGATCTAACTTCAACATACCTTTTGACCTTATTTCACATTATTCCATTTAATGCACTCATGTCCTATTTTCATCCCTTTGTACAGGCTGTTCCTTGTGCCTGTATTGTATGTTCCTGCCTCTTAGTCCCCTTATTTTCCATCAAGATTCAATTCAGGGGTCACCTCAGTCAAGCCTTTCCTGAACTTTTATTTGTTCATGCTCCCCTCCCTCCATAAATGACCTTGTATTCAACTTTTCTGTGGATTCACTGGAGGGATAACACCCTTTAGTGGAATGTAATCTCTTTGAAGGTAAGGACTGTATAGCAGAATCAAATAATCACAAAATCTTAAGGGTTGTTTCAGTTTGGTCTGTATACCTTGCCTAGTGCTTTGCATATGATTGGCACTTAATAATGACTGTTGATTTGAATTGAAACGAATTGCCAACATATGAGGAGAGTTCTCTTCCTACTTGTGTGCTCTATAGTACAACAGTTATCTCCCTGGAACATTAACAAAGTGAAAAATTATCTGTATGGAATAGTTTAGGTGAAGTTTATTCTGGAGGAAGGGAACCAAGCTAAATAACCCCACAAAGTTTCTTCCAACCCTTTGAGTCGGGGATAGAATTTGTATTTAATTATGGTTGGAGACATGTATAACCCAATATTGAGGATTCCTAATAGTTGTATCTAAGGGGAGGTATGAGGATGGAGGAGATATGAGCTACATTTGCTGTTCTCCTAATATCTCAGATTTTCATCTTAAATCGTTATCCTAATTCTCTTTCCTTTCTTGACGTTGGCCTCTTCCTAATGTCAAGTATGCTCAGGTTAAGAAGTGCCACAGTCCAAAGTGCGTGATGACTAAACATTCTTACAACCATACAAATCACCAGTTCTGCCTAGCATGGAGAATATTACAAACTTAAAATGAAATGCAGACCAAAAAGTCTTCCCCTCAATGAAATTTAATTATAACCTGGGAGTTGGAAGAGGTTTCAGAGATGATCCAATCCAAACCCTTCTTTAATCAGGAATCTTGTCCTCAACATCATTCCTAAGTGGTAATCTAGCTTTAAGTAAATACTCCGTTGATGGGAGACTCACTTCCTCAAGACAGCCGATGCCTTTTCAAGATCATTCTGATTTGTAGGAAGTTTTTTCTCATGTTCAGTTAAAATCATCCTTCCCATAACTGCCACCTATTACTTCCAGCTCAGCCTTCTCAGGCCAAGGAAGAAAAAAAAGTCTAATTATTCCTTCATGTGATGTTCCTATGGGTAGCAATTCCTATGGAATTAGGGTCAGAAAACTTGAGTCTGAATGCTGGACTGCTATGTCTTGCCCTGGATTACTCATTTAAGCTCATCTAACCTAGATTTCCTCATTAAGCAAGAGGTTAGATAGATTACCTATGAGATCTCTTTCAATTTTAACAGCCCATGTGCCTACATCACATAAAAAATTATAAATAAAACATGAAGCCTATACTAAGTTCTCAGTAACTTGTCTCTGTATTATGTGAGAGCCTCTAGGTATTGGGCCTAAAAACTGCTCTTTTTATTTCATCAGAGAGGATTTTTGAAGACCATGAAAATGTCGTTGAAATCTTATCAAACTGGACAAGGGATACTGAAAATAAGCTATTATTTTTGGAGAAAGATGAAAAATATGCTGTATTTAAAAACCCTCAGGTAAGGAAAATCCCTTGTTAAGGGATATAAAATATGTTTTTCAAAATTATGTACATGTTTAAATTTCATAACTATGTTTTGTAAGTACTTAGAAGCAGTGCTTTGAAAAGAATCCATAAACACAACCCCTGGCCATGTCCACATTTTGACAATCCTTCAGAAGACATAGAAGGTGGAGATTCCTCTCTGTTTTGGCCATTTAACCTTTGAATATATCTATTGTGTTTTCCTTCTCTCTTATTTTTGCTTTTCTTTGAATCCATTAATCTCATCCTTATGCATTTTTGAGCCCACTGAGTTCTTCACAGTGATCTTTGAAAGGTTGTGGTGAACAAGAGAGGTGCCATAGGAATGGAGAAAGGCAAATGTTCCAGTTTTCCAAAAAGGAAAGAAGGTATGGTCTATAAGCTATAGGTCAAGACACTTGACTTCCATTCTTGGCCAAATGCTAGAATTCATTGAAGGGATGGTTCGTGAACACTTTGAAAGGGAAGCAGTTTTTACAGAAAAACGGAGTATCTTCACCAATCTAGGTCATGTTGTACTAAATCATTTCTTTTTTGGCAAAGTAACTAGATCAAGGGGATGCTATAGGTATAGTAAGATTTCATTGAAAATACCTGATAAAATCCCTTATCCTATCTTTGAGGACAAAATGGAGAAATATGAGCTATTAGAATGGCTTTAAACTTGATCGAATGACTGAGAGTAATCATTAATAGGTCAGTGTCAGTCTGGGGTGAGTTCTCTCATAAAGTATTCCAAGAATGGGTCCTTGGTCCCATGCTGTTGAATGAAGCTGTAGAATGTATGCTTGTCAGATCTATAGGGGACACAAAATTGGGAGTCAGGATTCAGAAGGGTCTCATCAGACCTGAACAATGGTTCAAATTTAGAAAGATGAAATGTATTCTCTTACTGCAGTGGATTTTATCTTAATGATCTGAGTAATCCCTCTAGTGAGATGCAACTCATCCGTGTCTGCTTGTCCTGAGTGGGTCTTGTGCATGTCTTCCTGTAATTCCTCCATGTGATGTCCATTCAGTATGCAGGGGAGCCTTCTATTAGATCTCACGATGTGTGTGTGCTAGTAAAATCCTTTGGCTGTAAATTGGTTATCCCTCACCATGTAACCAACCTAACATTTTCCCCCCAATCATACATCTCTAGTGACATATTTAGTTCTACTTCTCCGCAGTTCTTTGTTGGTAGTACATTTTGGCCTATTCACGCCCACTATCCATTACCCTTTGAGTCATCTTCAACTTTAGTCCTTCAGAAACTGAATATGAATGAGTAGTATTTTTAAAAATATGGAGTTTTATTTTGAGGAGAATCTTGGAGGCTTTAGAATCACTGCATAATTTCCCAAAGGCAAAACAGTCCACTGTCCTGTTCAGTGTGCACTGACATATGCAATTGATGTCCAAGATAAATGTAGATTGACCTTATTGATGCATATCATAGTCTGGACATTAAGTATTCTGCATCCATTTGGGTTCGTTGTGTGGACAGTTAGGCAAAATTTGATTAAGTGATAATGGATCTCATTTAGGGGAGGTTCTGTGATGTCCTGGGCCTTGATGCCATCAGGAAAATGTCATCCCTGACAGAACATCTGGAAAAGATGAACTTTAATTCAGATACATGTAAAGTTCTACATTTGGGTTTTTTAAATTAGTTTCACTAATATCAGATGGGACTGTGTGTCTAGACAACAGTTGAGTTTTTGTGAACTGCAAGCTTGTTAGGCATCAATTGCATATATAGAATTGGCGGAACCGAAAAGCTCATGCTATATCCTAGGCTGAGTTAAGAGAGATGCCACATGTTAAAAACAAGGGAGCTAATATTTCTGCTACACTGCCTTGGTAAGAATACATCCAGAGAATTGTGTTTTGTTGTGGGAACTAAATTTTTAACTGGAACTAAATTGTGGGAACTCAGTTAGGACTGGAACACATCCGAAGAGGTACCCAGAGTGGTAAGTAGAATAGAAAATACTCCATATTAGGATTCAGTAAAGAAACTGAGGATGTTGCCATAAGAGAACAGACTTTTGGGAGGGAAGAGGGAAGGGAAGTATGGTAACGATATTCAGGTATCTGAAGGGCTGTCATTGGGAAAAGGAATTAAAGAAGACACCACTAAGAACAGTGGGTAAAAGTTGGAGTAGGCGGATTCTATTTAATTATAAGGAAAACCTTCCTAATGTTTAGAGATAACAGAGGCTAGAAGGACTGGAAGGTAGCAGGTTCCCTTTCACCAGCAGATGTTTCATGACCACTTGTTGGGAAGGTAGTAAGAAGGGGTTCTTGGGCAGCTATAGGTTGAACTAGGTGGTATAGGGTTCTGTGATCCATTCTGCACTGGTGCTCATTAAGTACTTAATTAAGTATAAAGTAGAACTTTACATTTATTAGATTAAAGTTCATCTAGAGCTTTTCCAGTGCTGCTTTCTAGGGATGACATTGTGCTGATGGCATCAAGGCCCAGAACATTATAGACCCTCCTAAATGAGATCCATAATCACTTAATCAACTTTTGCCTAAAATTGTCCCATGTAAACAGGAAACCCAAATGGATGAAGAATGCCTATTGTCCAGGATAGACTATAATATACATTTATAAGGTCAACTTGTAAAGCCAGTAGATCAGTACATAGAATAGGAATATGGTTACTTATATATTTAATATATTTTTAAATTTTTATTTGGCATATAATTAATAATTATAATTTTTATGTATTTAATAAATTATTCCTATTATGTTCTTTCCTTGGTGATCACATTGGGTGTTTATGGTTGCTGAGATAACTGTTAAGCCAAGCCTGGAAATTGTTTAAACATAGTTGGGGTTTTTTTTTATTTTGTGCTTGTGATTTAGTGTTTCAAAAAAGTTGTACATTAGATATAATTGTCCTTAATATTTGAAGGCGATGCTACCGATAAGTCTTGTGTAAATGTATCTGAAAAGAATAATCCTTTCCATGTTGCAGCCACAAAAAAAATTGGAATTAATTGAGAATTACAAGTATTTTTTCCACGTAGTCTTTTCTGTATTGAGTGGCATTTGGCCATATAATATCATTCAGAATATCATAGTTATCATTCTACATTTGTGGCACATGTTAAATAATAAAAGTCTACAAACTTCCAGCTGTGGCATGGGGAGTTGCATCATGGATACCTTTTTTGGTAGTGATAAGTTCTTTAAAATGAAACCGGGTTTGTTTCTTTCTAGTCTTTACCTACATTTCAAACTAAACAGTACACCGATACTGCTTACCGCGTTCCGAAGGCAACCCGTCACCATGTGTGCTGACTCTTTTTAGTGGCTTTAGTTTTTTCAGTTTCACTTTTCTCAAGTCTTGGCGAAGTGACACGTTGCTCTTCAGTGCCTGGCTTCTCCATGGGTTTGTGTATCACTCTTATTGGTTTGTTGTGCAAACTTCCTACTTTCCGGACGTTACCTTAATAGGCCTTTCACTCCATGGTGCTTCAGTGATGACTCAGAGAATGATCAAAGGTCACTAGTCAGTGACTAAGTCAGAAACAACCCACTTCTAGGTAAGTGTACATGCCAATAAGGGATCCATGAGAGTAGCACTATAACTTCTGAATAGCTAACTCACTTCATAACAACTTTGTGCTGAGTCTACAAAGACTTGGTGGGGGTGTAACAGGTGAACTCTCATCTGATTCTAAATTCACACACACACACACAAAAAAAAAACAAAGCACCTGGAGAATGATAATTATTTCCTGTGGGAGTTTGGGAAGCATGTGAAACCTGGAAATGCTTTTGTTATATTTGAGCTAACTTTTTCCTCCCCTGTTGGACAGTTCATGACAAGCTTCAAAATCCAAATGCAGACTTTTCTGTAAAGCATTCTGTACTTCGTTAAGGGTGTTAATTTTTTTTAATTGACGCCATTTACATAAAATGATGACCCCCAGAAATGACTCTAGCACAAGACTGTGACGCCATTTCCATTCCGTGATCGAGATCACATCTGTGACCTCGGAGACTTAATCTCCTTTACAACTGCTCCACGTCACATTGCTGGCCCAGAAAGTGTTTGAAGGGTTAGCTAGAAACTAACTGTTCTTGAAGAAGAACCAGAAATGGTGAAGGGGAAGGACTCAGGGTTGTGAACATTTTATCTGATGGAATTTCTATAAAAGGTGTCAGAATGTCATGTGCCTTTCTATTGTTGGTAATAGCTGTACCAGCCTTTCAGAGAAATAGAAATATGTGCAAGGGCAAGATGACAAGGGCAGGGCCTCTTGTCAAAAGGTCATCCTTTTTTTTATACATTAGAAGATCTGCCAGTAAAGGTGCTCATTTTACCTCTAGAAGATATCTCCATCTTGTACATCTGACCCCACCTTTCATTGGCATCACCCTAGGCACTCATTAAAAAGTGGTCATGTAATGGCCAGAGCACTGGACCTGGGGTGGGGAAGACTTGGTTTTGAATCCTTTCTCAGACTCTTTTTAGTTATGTCACCATCTTTCGACCTTGATTATAACATGACTATAGCTTCCCTTCAACATCTTTGCTTATCTTTGCTTACCCTAGCCCATTCCTACTGCTCTCCTGTATTTCCTCACTAATTTTGCCCATTCCTTCTTCCCATCCTCCAACTTCCTACACTTCTTTCCATTCACCCCTTAACTCTAGAGCAGTGATTGTCAAACTCGAATAGAAATAGATCCCTGGAGGCTACGTATTAACTTGGAAAACTACAAATTAACATTATCTTTGTTGTATTGTGTTTTTATTTATTTTGTTAAATATTTCCCAGTTACATTTTATTTTGCGTAGGACTTCTGGGGAGTTTGGTGACCGGCGAATTTGACCCCTCTCCTCTAGAGGTACAGTGAAGAGCATCTCCATGCACACTAAAAAGTGGATAACAATATTGGGGTGCCATCACTTGCTTCTTTGTCCTTAATGGGGCCTGACAGTTATAAAATGGAACTTCCTAAAGACA